AAAAAAACTAAATAAATAGAGACACCACATTCAAGGATCAGCAGACCATAGAGTAAATACATCAACTATCCTTGTATTGATGCATTAGTTTAATGATAGCCCAGTAAGGTTTTGGCAAATATAAACAAGCTCATTTCAAAGCTTATATGGAAAAGCATATAGGTCCCAGAACAGCTAAAACAATCTTGACAAAGAAGAATAAAAAGAGGAGATCACTCTGTCCAATATTAAGCCTTATGATGATCAAGTAATCTTAATTACAGTAATCAAGACAATGTTGTATTGATAAAGGGACAGACACACAGATCAATTGAAAAGTTTAGAGAACCCAGAAGCAGCCCCATACAAATACGCCCAAATGATGTCTGACGATGTACAAAAGCAATTTAATGCAGGAAAGATAGCCCTTTTAACAAATAACACCAGAGCAATTAAATATCCACAGGCAAAAACCAAAACCAAAACCAAAAGAAAACCTCTAACTAAGCTTTATACTTTATATGGAAATTAACTCAAAATGGATCACAAACTTAAATGTAAAGCGTATAATCATAAAAAATATTTTTTAAAACATGGGAGAAAATCTTTGGGATCTAGACAGAGTTCTTACTCTTGACATCAAAAATACAAACCACTAAAGGAAAAATTGATAAAGTGAACCCATTAAAATTCAAAACTTTGGTTCTGTAACATATCCTGTTAAGATAAGATGACAAGTTACACACGAAGAGAAAAAATTTGCAAACCATATATCTAACAGTGGACTCATATCTAAAATATATAAAGAACTCTTGAAATTCCATCTTTGGCCAGTAGAGGCTCCTTCACATTGGCTCCTGCATTCCTTTTAACATGACCTTAAAAGTCTCTGATAAATTCCTCGCTTTCAGGACTGACATGCCCCAGCCTCAATTTGCTCATTTCTGGTCTAAATACAAAGCTGTGCCAGGGACTTGGAACCTATTTATACAAGAGACCATGATTTGAGTAGAAAATGGTATTTAGGAATTAAAACTTGAATTCAGTGTTATAAACTGAATTCTGTTCCCTCCAAAATTCATATGCTGAAGCCCTAACCCTCAATGTGACTATATTTGAAGACGTGTGTGTTTGGAGATAGGGCTGTATTTGGAGATTTAAGGGGGTAATTAAGGATAAATGAGGTCACGCTGGGGGGGTGCCTGATCCAGCAGCAATGGTGTACTTAAAGGGGAAAAGACACCATGAGTGCGCAAACACAAAGCAAAGGCCGTGTGAGGACACAGGAAGAAGGCAGCCCTCTATGTAAGCCAAGAAGAAAGACCTCACCGGAAACCAAACCTGCTGGCACCTTGATCTTGGATCTGTAGCTGATGAAACTGTGAGAAAATAAATGTATGTGGTTTAAGTTGCCCAATCTGTGGTACTGTTATGACAGCCTGAGCAAACTAACACAAGTAGATAAAACTATGAAATATATAATTTCTTTAAAAAGACAGAAAAATAAATGAGTTTATGCTAACACTTTAGAGTCAAATTAAGGATGAGATAATTTTACTTATATTTTTATAATTGTACATTTTACACTGATAATATTGGTTATTACTGGAATTAGCATAATTATTAGTTTTCTCTTACCATATATATAGAGACTATATACACACACACACACACACACAAACACACACACCATAGAGACATATATATACCATATATAGAGAGGTCACATACATATACACACACATAGACACACACCATATATAGAGACCATATATATACACACACACCGAAGAGAGCATATATATACACACACACAAACAGACACACACACACCATCTATATATATGTAATAGTTTCAAATGGCAATACATATATGAACACTGACAACAAGAACACTGAATGCAGTTTAAGGTTTCTTAATGGGATTTTGGTCACTAAAATATATTACGATAGAAATATTCTGCCATAATACCGTGATTTAAAAGCACTCGCTTTAAATCTCTCTTCCCTGGGGAATCATACCACAAACTTGACACACAGATTGTTTTCAATTTTTCAAGACCACTTTATTTTTCTCATTTTTATTTTTAACATTATATAAAACATTTACATGCTTCTTAAGTCTAGACCATAAAGCAGGTACATTCAGAGAAGCATAGCTCATTCCTGCCCCTGCACCTTCCTTATTCTCTTCCTAATCCTGTAAATTGTCACTCTTGTAATTTATTTAACTTTCCATTCCGTCTTTTGTAAAATATTAGTAAAGGCACATATATTCTCTGTTTTCACCCCCTTTCTTAGACAAAAGGTATTAACAGTATGCTACGAATACTATTCTATATCTGACTTTCATCAGGATAATAATATCTTGTAGATGATCCATGGCTGTGTACAGACATCTTCCTTGTGCCTTTCCACAGCTGTGTAGCCCTCCATTCTGGGGATGGTGGTGGTTGGCAGAATGCTAAAGATCCCCCTGCCCCCAAAGCCCCACCATCCTGGCTATTCAAATACTAATCTGGATACTTCAGCTGGTACCCAACTTACAATGATTCAACTTGCAATTTTATGATATGTCAGTTTGAGAAGGTGCAAAAACAATATTCAGTAGAAACCATACATGGAATACTCATACAACTATTCTGCTTTTACTTTCAGGGTGGTATTCAATAAATTACATAAGATATTTTACACTTTATTATAAAAAAGGCTTTGTGGGCAGTGTGCGGTGGCTCACACCTGTAATCTCAGCACTTTAGGAGGCCAAGGCAGGTGGATCACTTGAGGTCAGAAGTTCAAGACCAGCCTGTCCAACATGGTGAAACCCCATCCCTACTAAAAATACAAAAATTAGTCAGGCATGGCAGCGCGCATCTGTAATCCCAGCTACTCAGGAGGCTGAGGCAGGAGAATCACTTGAACCTGGGAGGCAGAGACTGCAGTGAGCCGAGATCACACCACTGTACTCCAGCCTGCACGACAAAGCGAGACTCCATATCGAAAAAATAAAAAATAAATAGGCTTTGCATTAGATGATTTTGCCCAACTACAGGCCAATATAAGTGTTCTAAGCACATTTAAGGTAGTCTGGGCTAAGCTATGATGTTCAGTAGATTAGATGTATTGCATTTTTGACATGATATTTTCAACTTATGATGGGTTTATTGAAATGCAACCCCCACTGTAAATCAAGGAGCATCTGTATTGGGAAGTGAGTTTGAAGACATAATTAAAGTCCCAATTCCATTAATCTTAAGATATATAGATTATCTGAGTGAGCCTAAGCTAATCAAGTGAGACATTTAAAATTCATTTTATCTGATTGATGGCAGAGGAGGGAAGTCAAAGATGTTCGAAGTATGAGGGGGATGAGTCTCTGCTTTTCAAGGCATGAGAAGCAATCTTGTTGGCCACCAAGAGAAAGTAAACAGGTATGCAGTAAATGTCAATGAAGAAGAAGGACAGATTCCTGAAGCTGAGAGTGAACCGCAGCCAAATACCAGCAAGAAAGTGAGGATGTCAGTCCAAAGACTGCAAGAACATGAATTCTGCCAAGAATCAATGAGCCTAGATGAGGACTCCGAGCCTCAACTGAGAATCTCAGCACCAGCCAACACCTTGACATCAAGTATGTGAGATGTGGGCAGAGGATCACTCAAGCCCAAGAGTTCAAGACCAGCCTGGACAACACAGTGAGACCCTGTCTCTATCAAAATATTTAAAAAATTATCTGGGCATGATGGCATACACCTGTAGTTCCAGCTACTCTGGAAGCTGAAGTGAGAGGATCGCTTGGGCCTGGTGTGCGGCTCAAGGCTGCAGTGAGCCGTGATTACACCACTGCACTCCAGCCTGGGCAACAGAGTAAGACTCTGTCTCCAAAAATACACATGGAAATTTGTTGTCTTGTTTGTTATATAGGTAGGTATATCAGAGCCCCAGTTTTGCCTCTTGACCTACAAAGCCTACTTTCTCACTGTTAACAGGGAAAAAAAAAAAAAAATGCCAACCCCTAATCTAGATCAATCTCAGCAATACCAGACTCTGCTAGTCTGAACAAGTAAAAACCTGGATCTAGAAACACACATTAAACCAAATTGTCAGGGCTCCTCTGGGCTTCAATATAGCACAGATCAGATGGTTCAGAAGGTGTTAATCAGAAAGCATCAGAACATGAAGCGACTTGAGGAGCATCTAGAACAGCTCCTCCTTTTAGAGGAAAGAGTTACAAGCCCGGAGAAAGACCTGTCCTTCCTAGGACCAGTCCATAAACTCTCATCCCCTTCCCTGCTCCTCCTTCTGAGCCTTCAGCTACTTATTCCAGAATCTCACAATAAGGAAAATTACAACCAAACCACTGGTCTAATATTGACTCCCAAAGGTACAAACCAGAACCATCTCAACACTCTACTTTGGACTGTTCTCAGATCTAGGGCTGTGTTAGCCCATTCTCACACTGCTGTGAAGAAATATCTGAGACTTGATAATTTATAAAGGAAAGAGGTTTAATTGATTCACATTGCTGGGGAGGCCTCAGGAAACTTACAATGATGGCAGAGGGTAAAGGAAAAACAGGCACCTTCTTTACAGCCGGCAGGATGTAGTGAGTGCCAGCATGGGAAATGCCAGATGCTTATAAAACCATCAGATGTGGTAAGATTCACTCATTATCACAAGAACAGAATGGGGGAAACCACTCCCATGATCCAATTACCCCCACTTGGTCCCACTCCTGACACATGAGGATTATAGGGATTATAATTCAAGGTGAGATTTGGGTGGGGACAGAGAGCCAACCCATATCAAGGACACACAAGGCATTTCTCATCCCGCCATAGTTTCAGAGGTCTTCTCTGGGTCCTCAGTACTTCCAAGCTGAGATTACAAGTGAAATATTAAACCCCTGGAAAAACCCTTAAAAAAATATGCCAGATACACAGAGACCAAGAAATACCCTGCAACTACTAATACAACAGGCACTAAATTGAAGTTACTGATGAAACCATCAGAGAAAATCTTACCTTGCTTGGCAACTGAGCAGCAACATCTCACGGTTATAAATCAAAATATATAGAAGAACCAGGAAGGCTTTTGCTCTAATGTATGTTGAGGGGCTGTCGAGTAAACGGATAACTGTGGAGACAAAATCCTGTGGAAGACATTTAACATTTTTTTTTGAGAGAACATAACAAAATAGGGCAGTCTCAATTCTCAGAGTGAACAGACTATAATAATCAAGCAGATGGCAGAAAGTAAAATAATATCAACTACTGTTTTCGCATTCTCAATTTGTGCTAGATCCCGTAACTAAATTTTAATACTATCTCATTTAAATCTGAAAATTAGTCATAAAAAGTTGACAATATTGTCCCCGCTTTGAAGAGAAAAAATGAGTATTGAAAAGTTAAGCAATTTACCCAAATTCAGAGTTGGATAAAATCCAGGCCAACTGAATGACAAAGCCTGCCTGTTAACTACTCAATCACACAACTGGAAATGTGGCAGCAAATAATACAACTGTCAGTCACAACTGCATGTAGATATAAATCTCCAAGAAGAGCTGCATATAGAGAGATCATATCTCTAGTCTACACATCCGAGGGCTTAACAGACATGAAATAAAGATAATATTCAATACATGACACAAAGAAACGTATACTCATATAACACTCTTTAATTAAAGGTATAATTCAACACAAAGGACTAAGTATTGACAAGGAATAGTGCTACTTTCCCTTTTAAAAGACAGACTATAAATAATTTCTATAAATATGCAAACAGAACACAGACACACACGCACATACATGGTTAATGAATGTAAGTAGTCAGAAATATAGAATCATAATATCAGCAAGATGGCTACAGAGAACAGGAATATATAAGTTCCCAAGAGAGCTTAAGAGGTGCCAGCACCTAACAGTAACACCGTGTGTCCAAGACAGATTTAAGAAGCTCAATTTTTTTTTTTTTTTTTTTTTTTTTTTGGCCACACTCCAATCCTTTTCTATTTGGTGCTATGTTTCCAGGTAGGAATAATTTACATAGTCATGTATACGCCATGTAAATTCTATGCTACTTAAGGATAAAAACATATCTAAGCATCAGTCTCACCTAGTTCCTGAACCGAATTATCAAAGCCAAAGTATTTATCTCAGGTAAAAATCAAATCAATGCAGTCATCCTTGAGTAGAAGATCTGTTTTCTACCTTTGCAGCAACTAGACAGTAGAAAATCCATCCCCAGAGTCCATTCCTGATTCTAATTTATACTCTGTGGTCTAAGGACCACAATTACAAGTCCGTTTCCTCTGTCAACACAACCCCCAACATATACATACATAATTCCAAAGCCATTCAAATTTCCAGCAATTATAGACTGAAAAACTCTTCCAGATCATAAGAGATTAAAAAGACATGATAACTGACTGCAATTCAAGATCTGGAAGTTCTGTAAGGTCTGTAGATTAGCTAACAACACTGAATCAATGTTAATTTCCTGATTTTGAAATTCACGGCTTGTTTCAGTGAAGTAATTAGAATTAGAAAAGCATCACGTCCACAAACTTCTCAAGTGGGTCAGAAAACACACACACACTCACACATCCGTGCACACAAAGTGAAAGAGATAAAGACAGAGAAAGATAAATTATAAAGTAAACATAGTAAAATGTTAACATTTGGTGAATGTAGGCAAAGGATCTATTGCAATCATTTACACTGTATGTCCAAAATTAAACTCAGTGCCTGAGGACCAATATACTAGCCAAACTCAGAAGTCTCAGTACTATCCTTGACCCTTCTTCTTTCCTTTCTTTCAAGCCCAATTAACCCCAAGCTCTGTGAAAATGACACCCCTAATATGGCTGTCTTATTTCTATGCACCATTATATCTTTCCTGAATTACTACAACAGGCTTTATTTAATTTTCCTTTATTCCATCTACTCTATAAATTTTAGCCACAGTGGACCCTCTATAAAAGCAAATGTAACTCACCTATAAAATATTCTCAATAGTTACACAACCATTAAAAAGAAGCTAAAACTCATTATGACATATGAGGCTCTTCATGGTCTGGCTTTTCGTTATCTTTCCAAAATCATGTATCATACCATCAACTCCACTGAATACCCTCAACATTCACAATGAGGAAATTTAAAAAAAAGGAAGATGAGAATATTGAACAAAGGAAAGTGGCAAAGGGAATCTCAGGATTATTCCAAGGTGACAGCCTTCACCAGACAGAAGGCAGCCTACCTGTACAGAAGCTGGTCCAAGGCCCCCAGAGAGAACTCAGGAGAAGAAACTGACAGACTATCTGAAGCACCTGAATGTAATTTGAAACACAAAGTGATGTAAACAAAGAAAGGTTCACTAGATATTGATCTACACAAAATTAACAGACCGAGTACATATGCATGTTGGAGCCTGTCTCATGTCCTACTTCAAAATAAACACCAAACAAATCTAAGATTTAAAAAATAAACACAAAATGATTCAAAGATCTAGAAGAGGCCACGGGAGGTAGGCATACAAACATATATACATACATACATACGTATTTCAATCTCAGACTGGGGAAAATGTTCGTAAATAATTTATTAGAAAGAATAAAATAACTGTGAGAAATGTAAATAAAAAAAGTTAAATGCCACATAGAAATGAAACGCTATAAAGAAAAAAACCACATGAATTAGAGAAAATATTTGCAGTACATTTTTTTAATAAAGGTGATTTTCTTGATATATAAATATCAATAACTAAGAAAAGAACTAAAGGACTAAGAAAATAAGAGTACTAGAAACAACTGAAACCTCTGATCTCTTCCATGTGGAATATCACATCAACCAAGGATAATTTAAGGCATTTCAAAAAATACAGAACATAGGAGGCAAGTTTCATATAAAGCTATCCATATAAACCTATTTCATATAAAGACAACAAAAAATGAAAACAAAAAACATTTCAGCTGATAAAAACTCTTTTTTTTTTCTTTTTTGGAGACGGAGTCTCACTCTGTTGCCCAGGTTGGAGTGCAGTGGCGCAGTCTTGGCTCACTGCAACCTCCACTTCCCGGGTTCAAGCGATTCTCCTGCCTCAGCCTCCTGAGTGGCTGGGACTACAGGCATGTGCCACCATGTCCAGTTAATTTTTTGTATTTTTAGTAGAAAAGGATTTTCACCGTGTTAGCCAGGATGGTCTCGATCTCCTGACCACATGATCTGCCTGCCTTGGCCTCCCAAAGTGCTGGAATTACAGGCGTGAGCCGTGTCCAGCCAAAACTCTGATTTTACCTGCTATGGTCTGAATGTTTTTTCCTGCCCCCATTCATATATTAAACTTAATCCCCAATGTAACAGTGTTAAAACGTGGAGCCTTTGGGAGGTAATTAGGTCATAAGGACTACACCCTCATGAATGAAGTTAGTACCCTTATAAAAGAGACCTGAGTTTATTTACTCCTTCCAACATGTAAGGAAACAAAGAAGACACTATCTATGACAAATGGGCCCACACTAGACACCAAATCTGCTAGTGCCTTGATCTTGGACTCCCCAGCCTCCAGAACGGTGAGCAATACATTTCCATTATTTATAAATTAGCTGGTCTAAGGTACCTTGTTACAGCAGCCCAAACATACTAAGATACCACTCAACCAAAACAAAAAACAAAACAAAATAAAATTGAGGGAGAGGTAAACTGTACTGTACCAGCTCAATTTGAAGGAACTATCATTAAATAAGCATTTATAGACATCAAAAAGGTCCAAGTCACTTAGTTATACAAGACAAGGAGGTATAGACAGTATACCTTAGGAACACAGATGCAAAAACTCCTCAACAAAATATAAGCACGTTGATCCAGTATATATTAAAGGAATAAAACATGATGACCAAGTGAGGTTTATCCCAGGAATCCAAAGCTGATTCAACATTTGAAAAACAATAAGTGTAATTCATCATAATTAATTGATGAAACAAGAAATACCACATAACAATGAATTACTAATTTAAAAAATTTATAAAATTCAACATCCATTCATGATAAAAACTCTCAGCAACCTAGGAATAAAAGAGACCTCCTCAATGTGAAAAAAGGCAAGTAGAAAAAAAACCTACAGTTAACATCATAATGATGAAAGACTAGATGTTTTCCCAGAAACTGAGAAGAAAGCAAAGATGTCCACTCTCATCACCCATGATTCAGTATTTTACTGAAAGCTGTAGCCAGCATAAGAAGAAAAATAAATAAAAGACATTTAGATTTCAATGAAAGAAATATTTGCAGATGACATGATTACCTATGTAGAAAATCCCAAGGAATTTACAAAAAAAAGCTTCTATAACTTATGAGTTTAGCAAGATCTAGTATATTTCAATATACCAATAATGAACAACTGGAAAATAAATCCTTTTTAAAGTACCACTTTTCAATAGCTCCAACCACAACAACAACAAAGAAGTATTGCTTTCACCCTAACAAAACATCTACAGAATCTGTACATTAAAAATTCTAAAATCGTGATGAAAGAAAACTTTTCAAACCTATAAATAATGAAAAGACATTCCATGTTCATGTAGTAAGACTCAAGTTAGTCATCAATTCTCCCCAAATTTACCTATAGACTTATGCAACTTCAATCAAAATGCCAACAGGGTATTTTGTGGCTATAAACTGAGTTTAAAATTTCTATGGAAAGGTAAAATAAAAACTAGAATATGCAAAACAATTTTGGGAGGATATGCAAGAATCGTACAATAATTTTAAGACATACAAAAAACTATGGTAATCAAAACAATGTAGTATTGACAAAATAATAGACACATAGAACAAGGAAACAAACTAGAGTTTAGAAATATAGTCCATCAGTTTACGATAAAGGTGCAAAGGCAACATTGGAAAAAGGCTAATCATATGACCAAATGATGCTGGAACAACTGAACATCCACAAGCAAAAATGTTAACTTAAACTCATTCCTCACTCCACATGCAGAAATTAACCCAAAATGTATTATACAACTGAATATAAGTCAACTTCATCAAAACGAAAATTTCTCCCATGAAGGACACTGTAAGAAAAGACATGCCACATACTCAGAGAAAATATTTGTACCCAGAATATATAAAGAACTCTCCAAACTCAAAATTAAGG